ATTCCTCTGGGTCCTAGAGAAGGGTGGGTTCCTCCCCTCCCCTCCCCCCCAATCCATCCCTTGAAAAGGGTCCTGACCTCCCCTCCCCCACTTCCGGACTTCTCCAGAGTCCCAGCCCTGAAGATAGACACTCCAAACCAAAGGGCTGCAGTCCCCTCCAGGGCCCCTCCCTTGGCTTAGCTCTGGGGACCAAAGCCCCCCTGCCTCCCCAACCATTGCGCCAGATGTCGCTGCCGGGAGGGGACAGCACGGGCCTCAGCTGGCAGTGGTCACTCGGTGGTCCTCTCCCTGCAGAGTCAGCAAATTCTGTGCCAGCTCACCAGGCCTCCTCATTCAGCACTTCCTTCAGTCCCCTTTCCAGAAGCACTGCTGGGGTACACAGTTCAAGGCTGGCTGGGCTGGAGCTTCCATTCCCAATTCAACACAAATCCCATCAATGCCCTTTCCTCAGCTGCCCACCCAGGTGCCAGGGCTTGGGTTCAGCAGCCAGTGATCACACGGAGGAGGGGGAGACCCAGGACAGGAGCACGGGAGCCTGCCTCATCCCTACCACCTCCCAACACCCCCCCTCACCGCCCCCCCTCCCCCTCAACCCCGCCATTGCAGAAACATTCAGACCCCCAGTGGGCCTCCTGGTCCTTCCCTCTACAGAATAGTGAGGAGTCCCACACTCAGTCCCTCCTCTGCTCCCCAAACCCTCCGCTGGTCAGGCCTGATGCTTCCTCACTCCTGATGGATTTTCCAGAACCTGGAGTTCCATCACAGGGTCACAGGACACGAACTGCTCCATGAGAGCCCCAGCAACAGAGCAGCCCAGCCCAGATCCCAGCACACAGTAGGTCTTAACAAAGTCATGCGCTATCGGCAAGCTTTCAACCCTAGATCGCTGGCCCTCCGAGGTCCCTTGAGCCTGGTTCCTGGTGCCAGGGACTGGCAACAAGCCTCAACCATATGGCAAGATCTTAAAAATGTGGGTGTGAATCCCAGCCTGTAAGGACAAGGCCTAGAGAGGAGCCCCCACGCCACCCCCTCGTGTTCAGACAGCTCAGGCCCAGCCCAACCTGGTGACTCAAGGGCCTCTCTTGAGCCAAGCTCTGCACCCTCTGCGGCCTGGCCAGGCCTCTCTCAGACCACCACTCTGAAGGTTGCAGTCGGAGGATGCCAGGACACCTCCAGCTACCGAGGCAAGGCCTGGCCCTGTGTCTGCAGAGGGGGAGCTGGGCAGGCTGCCCTGGGCTCACAGAGCTGCAGGAGGTGCAGACAGGAAGGGAGAAGGAAGTTGAGGGAGGGAGTGAAGAGGAGGAAAGAAGGGGGTGGTGCTCGGCTCCCCTGCACAAGGCTCCCCCTGGACTAGGAAGGATGCTGGAGACAGATCCAAACAGGAAAGGGACAGAGAAAATGGGGGTCGGAGGAGCACCCGTGGGCGAGGAGCCCCACCTCCCCCCCGCCCCCCACTCCCGGTGCCGGCCCGAGGAGGGAAGATAGTGTCACGTGCCTGGCACTGTGCCGGGCACTTTTCATTATCTTCCCATTTCATCCTCCCAAATTTACTACGATAAACGTGTTATCAGCCCCAAGACTCAGATGAAGACCGAAGCTCTGAGAGGGCACCAGACTTCCCCAGGGAATGGCTGAGGGCCAGGCCAGGCCCCTGGCAGGGTCAGCCTCGGGACCCCGGCTCTCCGGACGGCAGGGGCCATGGCTCTGACCACGGGGAACCTGCAGAGGTGCAAGCTCTGAGCAGAGCAGAGCTTACTCGGAGCCTAACAGGAAGCTTGGCTCCTCTGACTCACTCTGATCCGACCTTATTAAGAAAAAAGGAGAGAGGAGCAGGAACCACGCCTGGGTAGGGTTTCACGCCAAGAGCTGGCTCTGAGGCCAAGGCCAGCTGAGCAGGGTAGCCTGTGCCCCGATCCCCCCACAGCCCCAAAGCCCTGAGGCAGCCCCTGCCCTCGCCAGGCTCCCTGGCTCTCGGAAGACGGCTCCCCTCTTCTCCACTCTCAGCCACTGGGGCTCCCCTACCGGGCGGCCAGTCTCTTTCCTCCCCCCATCCTTCCTCCTCCCTTCCCCTCCCTGACAGGGGGTACCCTGAGGCCTGTTTCCACTTCTCCTCCTCCTCTCCTGGCGCTGCTGCCCATCTGGCTGGCGGGAGGGCCCTACAGGACCCCAGGGATCCGAAGCAGCTGGGGCCAGCACTGCAGGGGGCAGGCAGGAGGCAGGGGAGGCTTAACCCTCCAGGTCCCGGCCCTCCAGCCCTCCCCCTCCGTGAGCCTGACTCTGCATCAAGCTTGATGGGGGGTGGGGGTGGGGGAGAAAACCAGTCACTCCTTGCAGGAGTCCTGCCTGGAGTCTGAAACCTAACCCCACATGGGGCAGCTGAGGGACCCGTGTTGAATGGTTGCCGGCTGGATTATGAGGGTGGACAGTCACCTGAATCAAGCCTCATCCTGAGGCACAGTGCAATGGGTGAACAAATGCTGGCTGGCAGGGGAGAGGGCCGGGGCTCCAGGGTCCCCGAGGAACGTCCACTCTAGCTGTCTTCTCCCAGTTGGGCTCCAGGAGTTTGCAAAGTAGAGGGGAATCTGCAGGGGCCAAACTAAGGGCAAGTTCTTTCTACTTGGTGTATAAGCACAGGAAGGAAATTTCTGCCCTCCAGTTCACGAGCAAGGTGGGAGAAGGCAGCCCAGGGGAGGCTTTCAGAGGGTGACTTCTTAGATGCCAAGATGTTCACACTTCTGGCACCCTTCCTATCTCTGCCTTCCTCAGAGAGGACAGAGAAACTCCCAAAGCACTCTTGGGGACCATCTAGTCTAATCCTCCATTGATCAGATGTGGCAACTCGATCAGAGTGAAGGGGCTCGCCCAAGATCACCCAGTCACGGCACCAGGACGAGGCCTAGCTCTTCTGGATGCCCCTTTCTGCTGTTCTATGCTGACAGCGCTTGAGCCTCCTATGCCATATCAAAGACAGCCCCTGGGTCGCATTTTACTCACGGGCATACTCAGGTTATTGCCAGGCTACTATGATTCAAGAGACGCAGAGCAGAAACCTCCGTGATGTGATGCATAAGAAGCTGACCCCTCCCATGATTTCAAAAGTTCTATTCAGCACAAGGGCATAACCCCATTCTACAGATTTGGGAGAGTAAGGCCAAGAGGTGTGCCAAGAGGGGAAAAAGCTGAAGTTCCAGCCCTTTTGTACTCAGGCCTAAGGAACTGAGGTGCCCCTGGGGTCCAGAATCAGGTTTAGCATCTCCCCCAAGGAGGCCCACCAACAAGAAGGGGGTCTCTTGGCACTGGCTTTGCAGAAGGGGAGCTCAGGGGGTCCTGGGGAGAGGCTGGGGCTCATCCAAGCCCAGAGAAGACAGTAAGGTGAGACCAGGGGTGCTGGGTCCAAAGCTGAAATGGCCATAGGGGTGCTGACACCCCAGCCGTGTTCTGCCTGCACCCCCAGAGGCCCCTTCTACTCCCTGCTTCATTCCCTTCCTCAGAGGCAGGTCTGCGGCTTGGCTGGAAACTCCAGGGACTGAGGGAGCACAGCAGCTGTGGGACCGGCAACATAGCTAAAACCCGGCGGGCCGTAGGGCCCCGCGGAGGAGGCCCCAGCAGGCGGACCAGGCTGCCCGAAACCTCCCAACGCTCCCAGCCTGTTGCTTATTCATTCAGAGTGGGAAAGCGCCAGCCCAGCGGCCAGCCAGTACCGGGCTGGCCATGTAAGGCCCCCAGGCAGTCCTGCCTGTCCGGTGCCCTGCAGAGAGCCTCGTGCAGCCCTGGGCACCGCCCCTGCCCTGCCCTGACCCCTTGGCCTCGAAATGCTGTCATCGGAGGAGCCGTCCCGCTCGGGACAAGGCCAGCATGGACAAAGCTAGAGCTGGGGCAGGCAAGGAGCCGTCCTGTCCTCGAGACCGTGGGAAGAGAAGCACGCACAGGAGTACACTCCTGAGAGCCTCTCGGTCCACCAGGCCTCTGCAGAGGGGCCACCATGGCTCTAGCCCGAGCTGGCTGGCAGCTGGGGGCCCTGGTGTGGGGCGCCTGCCTCTGCGTCCTGGTGCACGGGCAGGAGGCGCGGCCGGGGCAGGGCTCGGACCCGGGGCGCTGGCGGCAGCTGATTCAGTGGGAGAACAACGGGCAGGTGTACAGCCTGCTCAACTCGGGCCCAGAGTACCTGCCGGCCGGGCCGCAGGGCACCGACAGTAGCTCCCGGGTGCTGCTGGCCGGCGCTCCCCAGGCCCCGCGGCGGCGCAGCCCAGGAGGCCTCCGGCGTCGGCAGGCCCCGTCGCTGCCCCTGCCCGGGCGCGTCGGCTCGGACACCGTGCGCGGCCAGGCGCGGCACCCGTTCGGCTTCGGCCAGGTGCCCGACAACTGGCGCGAGGTGGCCGTCGGGGACAGCACAGGCATGGCCCGGGTCCGCACCTCCGTCTCCCAGCAACGACACGGGGGCTCCGCCTCCTCGGTCTCGGCCTCGGCCTTCGCCACCACCTACCGCCAGCCGCCCTCCTTCCCGCAGCAGTTCCCCTACCCGCAGGCGCCCTTCGTCAGCCAGTATGAGACCTACGACCCCGCGTCGCGGACCTACGACCAGGGCTACGTGTACTACCGCGGCGGTAGCGCGGGGGCGGCGGCCGTGGCCTCGGCCGGGGTCGTCTACCCCTTCCAGCCGCGGGCGCGCTACGAGGAGTACGGCGGCGGCGAGGAGCAGCCCGAGTACCCGCCGCAGACCTTCTACCCGGCCCCGGAGAGGCCCTACGCGCCGCCGCCGCCGCAGCCCGCCGACGGCCTGGACCGCCGCTACTCACACAGCCTGTACCACGAGGGCACCGCCGGCT